TTTTTAATTTTCTAAAAGCAAACCCATTACATTTTGGATGTATACTATTCAATAATTTTTGAAAATATATATGTAACACAAGAGAATAATGTTCTTGTAGAGTTCTTTTATTCTTGACTTGATGTACAAATAATTGAATATCAATGATTAATATGATGACAGTGGTCCTAAAAAAAACAATACGCAGTTGAAAGTGAAAGTCATAAAAATAAATGTAAACAAGTACAATAATTCCTCTTGACATTTCAGTATTAGAAAAACGTAATGTTCATTTCATTTAGAAATATTTATGACAGTCAGACTTCTATTACACCTATCATACAGCATATCATCTAAACAAGAAATAAATATGCAGTATAAATAATAAGTAATAAAAATGTACACAGTTCACAAACCTAAGTAAGGAATATGGCTTCCGGTCACTGTGACGTCATCGCACAAGAGGACTAGGACTGTTCACTATAAATACAATCAGGTCTTACTACTCAATTCATACAAAATATACATACATGTACTTGACAAGGAACCACTATTATAATAAAAATGTTTTGCATTGAACAATCTTTTAAAATCATATATAGCATCAGGGCATCTATCATTTTTAACCTATAAACACACCTATAAACAAATGACTAGATGGTAGCATCACGACATCATTTCTGACTAGTAGTAAACAACTTTCAATCGGGAAATTACACAGTTGCATATTTCACAAAATATAGAATAATCATTCACTTGTGGCATAAGTACCTAGTCTAATATGAATGTAAGACAAAAATATCATTACTCACATATATCAGACAAAAGGCGTTTAGTAACACGCGGCTGACACACCTCTTCACTGGTCAACATCTACTGTGAAAATACCGCCAAAAGATGGCCTACTGTACATTCGGTAAATTGACCAATCAATCAACAGATTCACAAGTGCCAAAAATAAATTATAAAAATTACTTACAGCCAAATACTAACGTTATTTCAGTTATTCAAAAAGGATATAAACATAAAAATAATTCTCCTTTTCATTATTTGCAAACTTTATAAAAAATTTCAATCTGAATCTTGAACCCGATGCAAAATCTACTTCGCCCTCTTACACATTTCTCCCCTTTGTCATTGCTTTCCAAAGCAATGAAAAGGTAAAAAAAATAAAAATTTCTATCACAACATTCAGATATATACACAATTAAACACAGTCAAGTGAAATAACATAATCACTACATAATCACATCTGATTTTGTCTTGCCCACGATTCACTTAAAGTAGCACTTAATGTAGCACCAAGATTCATAATCGCATCACTTAGTTCTTTAAAATTTGTCAGTTCAGCGGAAATTTGATTGCATGGTACGGTACTCCTAGGTAAGTTGAACGGGTTGGAATGTTTTCCTGCCCTCGTTCTCTTACTTCGTCGAGGCTGTGTCACTTCTACCGACTCTTATTCTGAATCATCCCTGCTTGTTGAAGGAACACATGGTTTTTCTATCGCAGCTTCTTCTAAGTTCTCAGCAGTTGCGGAATGTTCTTCCTCTTGAACTTGTATGGTCTGTTCTGGTATGTATTCGAGGTCAGATTCTTCAGAACTGGAACATCCATCACTCGAATTCACTCGTTCAGCTGTGTCTAAGATCTCTTTCCTTGTCACATTCTTGATCGGGCCAGATCCATCTGCCAGCTGAATAGAATACACATTATCACCGGGTATTTCACAACTTTGAATGGAGTAGCACACCACGTATCATGAATTTTGTTTCTTCCAAGAATACGGTTCCTCGTAAGAACTCTTGTTCCAACTGGAATGACTGAAACACTGGCTCTCTTGTTCTTCTGTTGATTCCGCTGTTCTGCAGATTTTTCTGTATTTGACAATGCCAACTTTGATGCTTCCAACATCTTCTTCTTATGTTCTTGAATCAAATCATCCATAGGTGAGTTTTTAATGTCATCATCTGAAGATTTGTGTAATCCAAGCATCAAATCGATGGGAAGAATTGGTTCTCGTCCGAAAAACAAGAAATGCGGAGAGTAACCGGTCGATGAATGAACAGTGGCATTGTAGATATACACCAAGTATGGAAGATATTCAGGCCATTTCCTTTTCTTTTCTGGAGGCAATGTTCTCAGTCTGTCATGCATGGTCCTATTGAATCTTTCACATTGTCCATTCCCTTCCGGATGACAAGGCGTTGTCCGGGATTTTTCAATGTTGTAGTAACTACACAGTTCTTGAACAATAAAACTCTCAAAATTCCGTCCCTGGTCACTATGGATACGCTTAGGGATTCCATAATTCACAAACCAGTTTTTAACAAGAATATTTGCGACAGTAGTTGCTTTCTGGTCTTTACACGGTACGGCGTGGGTAAATTTAGAGAAAATGTCTGTCATAATTAACACATTCTCACGACCATCAGATGATTTTTCTAGCAGAGTAAAGTCAATGGCGACAATTTCTTGAGGTTTGTAAGCTATTAAATTACTCGTTGTAGGTCGAATCGCTGAAATTAGAGCTTTCCCTATTAAACACCTTTCACAAGACTTACACCATTTTTGGACATCTTGTAGCATCCTTGGCCAAAAACATCTTTTCTTCAGCAAAGAATAAGTTCGCTCGACACCTTGATGACCTGCATGGTTGTGAATATTTTCCAGAACGGTCTTCTTTAGAACTTCAGGAAGTAATAGCTGCCTTTGTTCACCAGTCTCATCTGTGATCTTCCTGTATAAGACACTATTTTCAATGAAAAGTTTTTCTCTCTGATTAAGAAGTTTTCTCACATCTTTGTGCTCCTTTTTCACGTCATTAACCGAAACTTTACGATTTTCCTCCATCCAGTAGCGAATTCTACTCAACTTCGGGTCATGATCTTGAAGTGCTGCTATGTCTGCAGGAATATACTCAGGAAGCGTTGTCATGGCACTCACTGTCCGCATCTGAGAGTCTGCCATCTCCTCTGAATTCAACTGAGTCTGTAGACGGCTATCTAACATCTCTAATGATGTACTCTGAGTGATCCTATCTAAGGAAACTTTCACTTCTTCTTCCTCCAGTGAAGTAGGTCTACGGCTTAACGCATCCGCGTTGCGATTCACCTTACCAGAACGGTATTTCACTGTAAAGTCAAACTGAGCTAGCTCTCCTATCCATCTCATCGTAGTTGCGTCTACTCGTTGCTTGGGTTTGTTGATGTAACTAAGCGGATTATTGTCAGTGTAAATGATAAACTTCGACCCAAGGAGGTAATCGCGAAATTTTTCACTAACTGACCACTTGAGTGCCAGAAGTTCAAGCTTCATAGAACTGTATCTTTCCATATTCTTCTCTGATTTCCGCAGTGATCTTGATGCGTAAGCTATCACAATCTTTCCATTAGGTCTCTCTTGAGATAACACTGCTCCGAGTCCTTCAAAACTTGCGTCTATTTCCAAAATGAAATTCTGTGAAAAATCGGGAAATCCGAGAATCGGGGGTGAAACAAGTTTATCCTTTAAGCTGTTAAACGACTTGGTACACTCGTCAGTCCATAACTTTTGAAACTGCTCTGCTTTCGGTTTGGCATTCCTTGGTCTTGAGAGCAATGCATGAAGTGGAGCTGCTATGCTAGCGAATCCTTGGACAAATTTCCTATAGTAACTAGCTAGTCCGAGGAATGAGCGGAGTTGTTTTTCAGTAGTTGGAATAGGCTATGACTCAATAACAGCTGTTTTCTCCGGGTCTGTAGATATCCCTTTTTCGGAAACGACATGTCCGAGAAATTTTGTTTCTTTCTGGAAGAAATGACATTTCGCTGGTTTAATTTTTAATCCATTGGATTTCAGTTTAGTAAACACTTGATCTAATCTGTTGATATGTTCTTCTACTGTTCTTGAAAATACTAAGATGTCGTCCAAGTAGAGAACTAGTATGTTGAAATTTTCATCTCCAAGGCACGCCTCCATAAGTCTTTGGAAGGTTGCGGGGCTATTGCATAAGCCAAAAGGCATTCGAACATATTCATAGAGTCCACCAGAACCAACACGGAACGCAGTCTTGGGAATGTCATCTTCTTTTACAGCCACTTTATGGTATCCTTGTATCAAGTCTATCTGAAATATTTGGCTCCGTTCAGAATATCCAAAGTGTCCTCAATACGCGGTAATGGATATGCGTCTTTGACAGTTTTTGAGTTGATTGCTCTATAATCTACACAGAGTCTTATGCTGTTGTCCTTCTTCCTGACAATCACAACAGGCGAAGAGTACGGACTGGTACTTTTGCGAATAATTCCCTGATTTAACAGTTTCTCTGTATGTTGTTTCACTTCGGAAATTTGATTGGGTGGAATTCTCCTATGAGGAATTTTCACAGGTTGGTTATCTGTCAGCGTTATAGGGTGAGTCACAGTTGTTGTGTATCCCAAATCTTCATCACTCCTTGCAAACACATATTCATGTTTAGAAAATAGTTCAAGTAGTTTCTGTTCAGTTGATAACGAAACGTTTCCAAGATCCAGTTTAGACATTAGATCAGAATTATCAGAATTTACAGTGTTGGTTGACACCGAAACACTACGAATGTTCAATTCTGTTGGTTCAATATCGACTGCATATTCTTGGTCAGAACTCTTTAAAATCTCGATCTGATGTAGTGTACCGATACGAATCTTTGGTTGAATCCAAACATCTTCTTCACCAATGTTCAACATCCTTACAGGAATTTTCCCACTTTCCACAACACTAACAGTATCCACCACCAAAATATTTCGAGGTAGAGACCCATTCTCATTGGAAATAGGTTGAACGGCTGCTACATATGGGTTTCTTTTCTTGTTTTGTCGAGTGGATCCCACTATGGTTTTCATAGAGTTCGCTGGAATTCTTACTGCTTCTTTTCCTGCCACTTTAACAAGTCCAATCTTCACATCCACTTCATTTTCAGCTAACGCTAGAACAGACATAACATTGTTCCATATAGGGTCTTTCATAATAACATTATCACAATGACAGGCTGTTCTAATATGTTTCAGTACATTACATCCAAGAATAACTTGAACAGCATTTGGATCTGTTGTCACGGTTTCTATTAACATTCCAACGTCACTGAATAGTTGATCTCGAATCTTCAATTCCACTTCAATGTATCCAAGATATGGAATTTGGATTTTGTTGGCTGCAGACAATCGTAGAAATTTTCTTGTGTCGGTAATATCTTTGTGATGTAAGAACTTCTTATAAAACATTTCAGATATAGTCGAAACTTCTGCTCCGGTATCCAGAAGACATTTCACAGGTTGTCCGTTTAGTTCAATAGTAGCGACTGGACTGTTTCTTGTAGCATTTTTGATTTTCTCGTTCATATCACAAGAGTCTTTCCCACTCCCCTCTAACAGGCGACTCTCCACTGTGAGGGTTTTACTTTTGGGTCTGTTTTCTGAAATTTTGTTCTTGGCTGTTGTTGCAGTTGTCTGTTTACTTTGTTCTGCGAGAGCTCCTTTTTACGATTTGCACATTCTGAAGAAAAATGTCCATGTCCGTTGCACGCATAACAAACAAATTGATCTTGTTTTCCGATTCCTCGGCCACGTCCTCTGAACGGTCCGGGTCTATTACCCCTCCGAGGTGAATCAGACTGTTGAAACTTTTGTAATGTTTGAGTAAGCGTATCAATCTGATGCTGTTGTTTCTCTAACATGGCTTGTTGTTTTGTTAACAAGTCTGTTAATGGGTCAGAAATACTCACAATCGCTGATGCGGCATTCAATTGTTTATTCTCACATGGTGGATTATCATCGACCCACTTTAACATCCTGAGACGGAATTCTTGAAACGGAATTGTCGATTGTTCAACAACAATTTTCCTCAGTTCTTGTCTAACAACTCTGTCTCTAATACCATCGATGAATCTTTCTGTTAGGTTTATATCAGTTATTTGCATCTTCTTGTCCACTTTCTTGTTAATGCGTTCCTGCATCTGCATTAATATTCGAGAGTAGTTCTCTAGAGTCTCGCTTTCAATTTGGTCTCTTTGATAAAATTTCTGCAATAATTGAGTTACAGTGTCTTTAATCACAAACACGTGCTCCAAGATATTCAGTATCTCTTCGCCAGTTTTCCTTTGTTCGATCTGATGTAGGCGAACCTCAGCTTTAGCGTTTCCAGTAAGATGATCCATTATGAAGTCAGCGTGTCCATCCTTTGATGCTGTTCCTCTGATGTGTTCTCTCATCTCTGAAATCCAGTCTATCACATCTGGATCTGTATCTTTTTCTGGGTACCCACCAAACTTGGGAAATTTTCTTTCCGACTTGACGTACACCATAGGTGTCGGTTTTTCTTTCGACTCGGTAGCTTGCATTGACGAAACTTTTCCTTGTAGATGTTTAATTTCTTTGTGCATCGCCGCATTCTCCTGTCGATCTTGGTCTTCTCTAGTCTCCAAAATCTTAATTTTGTCCATTAGTCCTTGGATGAGCTGTTCCATGGTGATGGAAACACAACTGCACACTGTCGTCAATCACAAGAATCCTGTCCACGACGCCATTTGTAACACAAGAGAATAATGTTCTTGTAGAGTTCTTTTATTCTTGACTTGATGTTCAAATAATTGAATATCAATTGTTAATATGATGACAGTGGTCCTAAAATAAACAATACACAATTGAAAGTGAAAGTCATAAAAAAAATGTAAACAAGTACAATAATACCTCTTGACATTTCAGTATTAGGAAAAAGTAATGTTCATTTCATTTAGAAATATTTATATCCACAACTTTTCCACTAATAAAAGTAACTTTCACAATATGAACAGCCTTTCCGTAGCTTGTTCTTGTTACATGAAAACTAGTGAAGACACGAGAACTTGAGTTGAGTGAAAATGTCATTTATTGACCAAATAAATGACGAAAGTGAACAAAAACACATAAATATACAATATTACACACAATCATGTAAATTATAGCTGGGATAAGGCCAAATAATGATTAGTTTCAACTTAGATATGATATATTGCGACTTAGTGCTTATCCCAGCTATTGTTATATAATGATTACCAAGTTTGTGTAACAAGAAGGTGGCGTAAACAAAGAGGCCACACGGCATGGTAAATGTTGATTTTATACAATGAGCAAAAAATTCCATACAACAAAAATTCAAATATTGGTATTACATGGGAGGAGGATGGGGAGGTGGCGGTAAATTGATTCCAACCTCATGTTTGCGTAAAATCAAATTAATTGAGCACTCGATCCCGATCAAACCGAACCCGATCCAAACATGAGTTCGATCCCGATCCAGTCGACCCCACTCTTTTTACATTAAAAATCAATAACAACTGCAATTTTAATCTAAATTTGTCAAAAACAATGTAAAAAAATTGTATATAAATCATTTTATGAGACATAAAATTGTATTTATATCCACAACTTTTCCACTAATAAAAGTAACTTTCACAATATCAAAAAGCCTTTCCGTAGCTTGTTCTTGTTACTTGAAAACTAGTGAAGACACGAGAACTTGAGTTGAGTGAAAATGACATTTATTGACCAAATAAATGACGAAAGTGAACAAAAACACATAAATATACAATATTACATACAATCATGTAAATTATAGCTGGGATAAGGCCAAATAATGATTAGTTTCAACTTAGACATGATATATTGCGACTAAGTGCTTATCCCAGCTATTGTTATATAATGATTACCAAGTTTGTGTAACAAGAAGGTGGCGTAAACAAAGAGGCCACACAGCATGCAAAATGCTTGCATGAAGCATGCAGCGCCACCCAAGGAAAGGCATTTCATAAATTATATACTGCTCAATATTAAATGTAGCAAACATGTGTTCTTTAACAGATAATAACATTGTGAACTGAATATCATGTAACCGTATGGACTAAATAAGCATAAACATTAATAACCCACATAAGCACAAAGTTATATCTGAATAAGTAACAAAATACAAAGGACAAAGGTTACTAAACATGTGAATGACATAAGTTTAACGAGACTAAAACAGAGACCATATGCTACCTCATAAACAACATGAGCTCATTTTTACAATTAATATTTTATGAACATCCATATGCTGAACTTATGCACAAAATTCAGAACAAAATCCCGCTGAGTTCCAACTAACATACAGTTTTTATAAGCAGCTGTTCGCTGACCTGATACACAAATTTTTGAACTTCTAAGCTCATGACATGATACAATTTTGTAAACAGACATATGCTGACCTGATACACAATTCTCAAGACCAAATTTAAAGCTGAATTCCAACTAACATACATAAATTTTATGAGCAGCTCGGTGCTGTCCTCAAGTATATTAGCTCGCAAATTTAAGGCCAATATGAAGAGTAAAATGTGCATCTAACTAGCACTTAATTTTCAAAGCGAACACTTTGCAAGATCACTGACCAAAGTACTATTTTATTTAAGCAGCTAAATGCTGACCTCGGAAGGTTTAAATTTGTTTTTTTTTTTTTTTTTGATAGGATGCTTTAAAATTTTACAGTTTATCACAGCAACCATTAGCTGGCCTAATAGACTTGATTTATATGTTTAATTACTGAAATGGATGTAAAAAGTTTATCAGATTCTAATTAAATTCTGGAAAAAAAAACAAAAACAACCATATGCTGACTTCTCTCTTTTAGATAGTCGATGGCAGTACATGTATAAGGGGAAACATTTAGTTTGGAATTGATTTATACGTTTAATCACTGAAATGGTTGTAAAAAGTTTATCAGATCCTATTTCAATTCTGAAGAAAAACAGCCATATGCTGACTTCTCTCTTTCAATAGTCGATGGCAGTACATGTTTAAGGGGAACATTTAGTTTGGAACTGATTTATATGTTAAATCACTGAAATTGGATGTAAAAAGTTTATCAGATCCTAATTAAATTCTGGAGAGAAACAACCATATGCTCACTTCTCTCTTATCATAGTCAATGGCAGTACATGTATAAGGGAAACATTTAGTTTAGAATTCTTAACATCAATTGTGGAATTTAAAACGTGACTGCATTTATTTTAATGTAACGTCTTTTGAGTGCCAATGACCGAGTTGTTGGATTACAATTTCAGATAAACCATTCTAAGCTGCCACTAGCAGTACAAAACTTGCAGTACAAACACAAAAACTATGACCAAAGTAAAGCAATCAGTTAAAAACTTATATTACATGTTTTGATTGGAATCCCACGAAACTGTACTTAACTGGTTCATCAGATTTGAAGGTGAATAAAGGATTAGATGTGTGTTTATGTTAAGTAATGTATACTTTTAAGGCATGAACTGGACAAAATTGACATTTTAAGTCATTGGCTGTTAAAGTGAGTATCACTGGATGCCTATCATTCATAGTTTGGAATATCTCATTGTTATCTAAAGTGAATTATCATCAAGAAATATTATGGCTTGTCTTTGAATTACTTTTGAGTTGTATGTGTTGTTTATAGGAACGAGTTTGCCTAAGTGCATAAAAATGTTCAAGGCAAGAAGGAAGACTGCTGAAAGTTGGTTCTTGTATATGCTTCTTGAAAAGTGTGAAATAAGTCAGATACTAATTCATTAAGATGGGTTTTGTGATTGGAAGCTCTGGGCTCATTTGACAATTTTCCTTCCATAGAGGAGTATTTGGTTCATAAAATTAAAAATTGCAAATAATTCTTTCTGTAGATGGAAGATAAAACAGTAAACTATGCGTTTTGAAGGTATAACTGCTGTATTATCAGCTAAAAGGCAAATTTTGATAGCTGAAATATGGGACCCAAATGTCTACTAGCAAAATGATTGGAAGAACTTTAAGATAAATTTGACAATCTATATGAATATCTAACTAAGATTTAGCAGACCATTTTAAACTTTATACAGTTTCTTAACCCAAAGCACCAGATGCATCTATCTACTTATAAATGTAGCTTCTGTAAAGAACACCACTAATACTGATGAAATATTGACCTGCCACAAAAATGATCCATATCAAAATGCTACATTGCCTTAATTCAACATGTTCCTTAGCAGTTGATTTTCTGTGTAATGGTTTGGTTTGCAATTGAACTAAGGATTCAAATCTATAAAGAGTCTAAAACAATGCACGGCCAGGTGTGACCACTTGACGGGCAAATTTTGAACATTTATCCTGGACTATCCCTCTCAACATTTGTCTAATATTAATGATTTTGTTCTCATGTCTTAGATAATCTACTTCCTATAGGAATAGAATCTACCTCAATTCCATATATAGTCAAACAAATTATTGAGAAGACAGTTTTTGTTTCTTTAGAGGAAAATATACTCTCAAACGCAAATGTTTGAAGTTTCTAACATCAGAGAGACATTTTGAGATATTGGCCTGATTTTTATTCCAACATAAACCATTATAAGGCCCTGTTTAAAACTTAAACAAAACTGACAAGATGAACTAGCACCCAATGGTTAACATTTATCAAATAATATTGATTGTTAAATGATAGTCTGAAGGTGCTTTGGGATATTTCTAAAATCATCTCCTATGTCTAGCTTAGCCATAAGTGCCTCTCAGATATAATCTATAATACATTTTCATTAATGTCACATTGCACAACTTATTTTTCACAAAATTTCTTCATTTACTGATAATACATTATATCGCCAAATTATCTCTATATATTTATATGTATTTGTATGTTTTGAGAATGAAATGATTTAAAAATCAGAATATAATAGCACTTTTAATAGTGTTCACCAAATGACATGGTAAATCTGCACATACATGCACTTGCAAGAACACGAAATGAGTAAAATGACAATTATATTTAATATAGCCAATTTTCAATTATTTATGATGAATTGCTTTTAAAATGGATGCATTAAAAGTGTAAACATTTTGATATGGTCATTATGTATGTGCATGTATTTGAGTGTGTGTAAACCCTAAAATGACTAAAATACTAGATTGCCTTATTTTATGAAGCTTGCCGGGAATAAGACACCAGGAAGGACATAAGGAACTTGGGGGAGCATTTAGTGAACATCTGAAATGGTTCCCATTACAATTAAAACTAGTTGACTGAGGATTTAATGATAAACATTATTTTTTATCTGAATTGAAATATTTTTCTATTTAAATTTAGAAGTAAACTTTTGAGGTCAATGAAATGATCATTAAAGATTTTATTTATTTATTTATTTATTTTTTATTTGTCTACTGATTATGGGACAGAATCTAGTTGTTACTGTTACATGTATCTGCCACCGAAAACCTGAAAAACAATGCAACTGTTATAAGGAAATGCAATGCAACTGTTATAAGGGTGTTTACCAAATAAGAACTATTCAAATCAGTAGAAGATGTAATAGAAGTCTGCAGTGCAGTGGTGCAGCCTTTGAAGCGATCTTGTTTGTAGAAGCATTGCTGGGAGTCAAGGCTTTTGCTGTTGTCTAGGATTTGCTGCTGCCAGCTGATTTTTTGGAGCAGCCACTTGAGTCGATGATCAATTGGAATCCACCAAATTGCCCAAACTGAATCCACAGAGAGCAATTGAGCCGGTTGACTGCGTAACTTCACCTTTTTGGGAGGCTTCGGACCCATCACATTTTCCTCTTTTTTGGTGGCATTTTATTCTACAATAAGTCTAAGCAGTTGTAATTGCCATAGGTGATAATATAATAGAATTAATAATTTCTTTGCCACCAAGCTATAAACACATGGTAGATAGGAGCAAACATGCTTACATTTTTCATCTTTATCATTTGTTATTGAACTCTTCACAATGCATGTTGCCAATCTATTATCATATACAAGTGTCGGCTCAGCTTAAAATAGGTCAGTTCATCATGGTCATCATAAAATTCAACAACCGTGACATAAAAGTGATAGGCAACTCATTTTTTTTATAAATAAATAAAAAGATCTTCCAACCTTCATTAGATACATGGAAGATTAAGAAAAACAAACTGGAGCCTTCACATAGTCACATGCAAAAAGACATTGATAGGCAAACCACTTATAAATAAATAAACAGATCCTCCCAACCTTCATTAGATATTGGGAAGATTAAGAAAAACAAATTCCTTTTTTGAAATAAAGAAACAGATCGTCCCAACCTTCATAAGATATTAGGCGATTAAGAAAAACAAACGGTAGCCTACACATAATATGATGGAATCAATTGACGATTCCCATAATCATACTGGAATCAATTCACGATTCCCAACATCAACTGGAATCAATTGACGATTCCCATACTGACCAGTACTGACACTGACAAAAACAGCTGGAACCTTCACATACAAAAAACATTGATAGGCAACCATTTTTTAATAAATAAACAAATCGTCCCAACCTTCATTGGATATTGGGAAGATTAAGAAAAACAAATTGGAGCCTTCACATAATATGATGGAATCCATTGGCGATTCCTAAAATTTTGACAAGTGCTGACATTGACAGCAAATTATTAATTCATGTAACATAATGTGCAGAGACATGTCGAGGTTTACGTTGAAATTAAATAAGCACTAATATAATGTCATATTTTTGTGTAACATGTGACATGACATATTGCGGCATTAGCACGAATCTTTATCACATGCATTCAGTGTTTTCCCTAAGAGCCGGCAATCAGGTAAATTGACCGCTTTAAATGACAAAATTATCGCTTTAGAATAACAATTTGTTGTAAGATCACAGAGATTTTGTGATCTCTAATCCTTTACTTTGAAATAAATGGAAAACACTGATGCATAACAATCTATCATCATATGTGCAATGTACTACTTATCATTATTCTCCCATCCAATCAGATGGGAGGCATGGAGGGCAGCACTTTTTATGTTCTGAAGGTACTTCTTCATGAACCGGTGGTCGCAGCTGCTGCCTTCAGGTGAACCCCACCACTTGTCAAGTATTTCATGTCTGGGTTCCAGAAACTGCAGTGGTGCCAAATTTAATTATTGCTGGTGAACTGGTGATATTGATGGTGTAAAAGTTTATTATTGTCAATCACTGTCGCCTACTTGGATGGATGTCTGCTGACCAACTTGAAAGTCGAGTAATATTCTCTTGAGCTGGCTAGCTCGCGGGTCTTGAGACCGCCCCTGGCTCATATTAACAATTTAAATGTATGTTTCCGTAGCCGTGAATTATCGAAATCTGGTTCATTCAGTTAAAAAACACAAAGCAACTCTTCAAAGAAGGATTGACCTATCTGCACTACAGTGCGCGGTTTGGGATATCAGGTTTTTACCTCCATGCTGACTAATCCGAAATCGATTAAGACAATTGCACAATCCATCAAACTGTTCAAACTGATATAACGCATCTGATGTGGTGTCACAGGAGTAGAAAATATAGCTTTAAATCAGAGAAATTTGAATATCTCTCTAAATTGATTCCAACCTCATGTTTGCGTAAAATCAAATTTAAACATGAGTTCGATCCCGATCCAGTCGACCCCACTCTTTTTACATTAAAAATCAATAACAACTGCAATTTTAGTCTAAATTTGTCAAAAACAATGTAAAAAAAATTGTATATAAATCATTTTATGAGACATAAAATTGTATTTATGACAGTCAGACTTCTATTACACCTATCATACAGCATATCATCTAAACAAGAAATAAATATGCAGTATAAATAATAAGTAATAAAAATGTACACAGTTCACAAACCTAAGTAAAGAATATGGCTTCCGGTCACTGTGACGTCATCGCACAAGAGGACTAGGACTGTTCACTATTAATACAATCAGGTCTTACTACTCAATTCATACAAAATATACATACATGTACTTGACAAGGAACCACTATTATAATAAAAATGTTTTGCATTGAACAATATTTTAAAATCATATATAGCATCAGGGCATCTATTATTTTTAACCTATAAACACACCTTTAAACAAATGACTAGATGGTAGCATCAAGACATCATTTCTGACTAGTAGTAATAAACTTTCAATCGGGAAATTACACAGTTGCATATTTCACAAAATATAGAATAATCATTCACTTGTGGCATAAGTACCTAGTCTAATATGAATGTAAGACAAAAATATCATTACTCACATATATCAGACAAAAGGCGTTTAGTAACACGCGGCTGACACACCTCTTCACTGGTCAACATCTACTGTGAAAATACCGCCAAAAGATGGCCTACTGTACATTCGGTAAATTGACCAATCAATCAACAGATTCACAAGTGCCAAAAATAAATTATGAAAATTACTTACAACCAAATACTAACGTTATTTCAGTTATTCAAAAAGGATATAAACATAAAAATAATTCTCCTTTTCATTATTTGTAAACTTTATAACAAATTTCAATCTGAATCTTGAACCTGATGCAAAATCTACTTCGCCCTCTTACATATATATATAATTGTAGAGCATTTTCCGAACTCTACACGAGATTTTATTCTACAATAATGGCATAAAACCTACACTGCTTGACAGGAGGGTAAAGATATATATTTAATAATGCAAGAAGTATTTATTTGATCGAATATTTGAATGTATTCGAATACTCTTATCGAATATTCGAATATCAACAATTTGCAATTTTGACATCCCTAATTTTCACTATAGAAAATTTAAAGTTCTTAGTGTGCTCTTTTGTTTAAAACAAAGTCGCAAAATGGTCAAATCTCGCGGGGTTTCTTTGACAAATGTAACATAAACATGTAAACATTATCTGGGATCTCGATGAACAAATCCTCAGAAAAATTTAATGAATCATTTCATTTTTGTGGACTTTATATGCATCAAGAGGAGAAACGACAAGGAAATCAGTTTTTTTATTTATTGTTTATCGTATGTTTATCTGTAATCACCTAAACTCAATGCACATTCCTCGGAAATGTATTTTTATTTATGAATGACGAAATTAGGGTTTTCGCTATCTTACGTGTACATATGTCTATTAATTTAATTTTTTTTCTTTAGCCAGAATGACAAATACATTTAACTTCAACGATTGGATTGACATTTGCATGTTTTGTATTATCTGCAACATCCTACTGTCCCTGTCCCAGTCAGACGGCTTAATGCACCTCTAATTATGAAGAGTTCCGTAATGGAAATCAACCGTATTGGTCTGACTTTTTGTATCTATAAAAATAGACCTTTGAGTTCATAGTACTCCAACAAAAATTATTTTTGAACATATTTTTGCCATCCTAGTTGTCTTTCAAAATAAATTGTGCAAATCTAATTTTTCATTTAAATTTGTAATCAAGAGAAATAAATTTTTAACAGGTTTAATGATGACCGTTTATCATTTGATTAAGAATAAAATAAGATGCAGTTTTTTGTTCATTTTTTATATAAAATAGTTTTTTTTATGATCCTTTAATGGACCACTTTACTATTTATACACTCACCATTTTCACAATCGGGTTTACAAATTTTATCCATGGTTCTGTTTTCAATATCAGCACTACATCTCCTGCGGATTCCCATAAAATTTTTGCTTAAACCGTTGAAACTAAGTGCAAACGATGCCAGTTTAAAGAAGCGTGAGACGTGAGAACTGCTATGCTTGTTTTGATCCAATGCCACATTTTCCAAGTTGTTGATTTTAATTTGACATTTTTTAGAACAAATGTCAGTTTCTGAAATGATAATAAAATGCATTTTGAATTATCCAAAATCTATTTTAAATTCGCAGTCTACAAAAAAAGTTTCAAGAACGTTCATTTTCTTCATTTTTAGCGTTTGACTGATTTGTGAAAAATTAGAAATCTCCAGTATACATTTTCTTGTCTTATTGCAAAGTGAGATCAATGTTAAGTTATCAATCTCGTAATTTTAATGCCATCCATGAAAGTTTTGACTCATGTTTCACGAAATAAGCATTGATCAATTGCATACACACATGTATACACATACTAAAAATCAACAAGATTTGTAAATGTATGGTATATATGTAACAAATATTTTAATATAGTTCTATAACAATATTAAAAAAGAATCGTAGGCTTTCATCGATTTCATTCCATTCTGCATGTCAACATGTTTCAATATTTTCGATGCTGTACATCACACCTTACATTAAAAAAATACCATCTCATAATTGCTCTGCAGATCATTTGATTAAGATTTATCAGGGTTTTTTTTTTTGTTTGTTTTTTGGTTTTTTTGTTGTTGTTGTTTTGTTTTTTTTTGTTTGTTTGTTTTGTTTTGTTTTTTTTTTTTTTTTTTTTTTTTTGTTGTTTTTTTTTTTTTTTTTTTTTTTCTTTTTTTTTGTTTTGTTTTGAAAAAAAAAAACAATACAACTTATTTTATCTCACTGAAATAAAAAAGGGTGTTAGATATAAATTTGTAGAATATTTATTCAATTTTTAAGTCATAGTTTAAGACAATCATAATTAAAATAAATACCTGATTCAAACAAATCTTTGGATTTTTTTAATGTAAATCTGCAAGCTCTATTGTTTAGTGCAAAATCAAGGGCCTTTTCTTGGCAAACCTCCCTTGAAAGTAAAACATATGATTCTTAAAGTAATTTGAGATAAATTTGTACAAAAATAAACAATCTAATATTACCTTAGTTGTTTTGTTTTTTCATTAGCAAACATATCAGATAATTTATAAAAGAGTATTTTGACGAGAGTGGAAGGGGTCAGTTTAATTTCAATCCGAATTTTATAGAGAATCTAAAAATTTCAATTTTTCCTAGATTTTGGAATTTTCTTGGAGTTTCTATGTATTTCAGTTTCAATAAATGTATTGATTTTAAAAATTGTATTTGTAGATTACATGAAATTTTTCAATTTGATAGTGGAGGTGTGTTTGTTTTGTTTTTATATCAGTTATCTTTCTTGTACAAATTAAAATGTCTTGACAGGGTATCTGTCAATACATTGATTCACAATTAGTACAACATTTATGTTCCAAAAATGTCCTTCTTGATACACAAGCAATTTTTTTCTCTGCAAAATACTGCAAAACATCATTTTTCAAATATTAAAGCTTAAATCATGAACAGTTCGTCAAAAGACATCAACCTAAATGAAAGTTTTCCTGTAGATTTTTCCTTAAATGCCTTTTAGAATAAATTGTTCCTGATGAAATTATGAAATAAACTGGAATGCTCCCAACTATGCATGAAGTTTACATACCGGTATATTGTGCACTTATTTATTTCCAATAAATTTGTCAAAGTCCTGCTATATGGTTCGTCATACGTCTTTGTTTACTTTGTGTATTCATTTTAATTTACGGTTATGAAACCTTGATCTCCAATCTCCATATATGAAATATACAATTATTGCTGGTTTTTGAGGTCAATACAATGATTTAGCCATCTGAGGAGTACAATATTCACCGAGCCCGAAGGGCGAGGTGAATATTGTACTTCGAAGATGGCTAAATCATTGTATTGACCGAAAAAATCAGCAATAATTGTTTTATTAAATGATTCAAGGATAAATCATACAGCTCATTACTTGTTTGCATTTTATTAAGACCTAGCCAAATACAAGAGAGAAGCAGAATTAAAATGTGAATAAACCTTACCAGTCGTATCAATTTGAAATCCCTGCATCCCCTCTTACCTCCTCACCCAAAATATATATTCGTTTATGTTTTGTTCACATGAAAATAAAAATCATAATCATTTGAATAGCTTTCTAAAATAATTTGTATCAATTTGGAATTTCCAAACCTATTTTTAGATCAGAGTAGAGGAAATAAATCATTGTATTGACCTGGAACGTCACGTGCAGGTCAATACAACGTAAGATTTTTCTAACATAGTTGGATCTCAGCCAATCAGAGAGATGGAAATTATTCAATCATATAATAAATTGAGGATATTTAATTCATGCCAAAAAAATCTATGTAAAGGTTTCGCTGCACATTTAGCATATCCTAACAATCATTCAAAAAACACACATTTAACTCTAAAATAACAGGTTTATTTTAAATATGAACTGGTGAATGACTTTCTTTTACAAAGATTAGATCTGTATAAAAATTTTCCCTTTATTGCCCCATTTTCATTTTTTATTTACTACGCTCCTCATATATACTAATTATATAATGGACCCTGATTTCACTTCAGTACCCCCACAAAATATTATGAATATGAATCGTGAAGGAAAACTTTATCAATAAAGTAAAAGTTCATTGAAATCCTTACTTCCATTTTGTATACATACCTGTCAATATCATGTGCCAAACAGCCATAATACAAAGTCATGTAAAAGAAAAGCCCTGAAATAATAAAGATATGTTTCTATAGTCTTGAAATTTAATGCGTTTTACGCAGTCAGAAACCACTTTACTATGGAAAGTACTTACTGACTTTTAACGGTGTTAGTCACTGTAATAAATGTTTTAAAACATAGTACAATAATAACACAAGATATAAATACTATTTCAAATTATTTAAATATCAAATTATTTAAAACCAATTTTTTGGGGAAAAAATGATTCACGGAAGATTTTAATTTTTTCTTCCGTAAAAATTTTTATTCTCTGTCTTACATACTTGGATTTTTATTAGTTAAAACAATAACTGAAATAATGCATTTTCACTGAAAATTCAACATATCCAAGTCCTAACTCCTCTTTGATCTTTAGATACCTGTCCTAACACTATAACCCGACCTGGGAGTAAATACATTCATAGTTTTGAAAGAATTACTCTTGTCCATTATAACTATGCACAGTTTATGTAGAGTGTTAAAGTACTCTCGAAGACGGACAAAACAGATACCAGTAGGTCCCTTGAGTGACTCAAAAGGCCCGTAGAAAGCCGATTTTGTAATATTCAGCAAAATTATTGTGGGGGGGGGGGGGGCTCGTGCCCACGGCTCCTTCCAGCATGACTCATATGATCTAGAAATGAGTTTGATGTATAACTCCTATGAAGTCTCGGCATGATGTTCATTTGCGATAGCAACTGCCGACAAAATAACATACTTCTCAACAGATTTCTTTTAGGGCTTAACACATCTTATGAATAATGGATACGAAAAAAATTAATGTATGGCGTACAGAAAACAAAGGTACTGCAAAGCGGAGCATCTCCACACAAAAGAGTATATCTGTAAATCCAAGTATCGTTTTACAATGCAAATAACATAACTTTCGTTGTACTATCAGGGACACAAAAATCTATAAAAAAGATACACAAGACTATTTTCTACTATATACATATGAACTCCGTTGCGAGGGGGTAGCAAATGATTGCTGTGCTGATTGTGGTACTTTACTATATTTGTATGACTAATAAGCTTAAAGCTGAACATGACTCGTAAATAGACATACGCCATTTCGAAATTACTATGATCTAAAATATCAACGACAGGGTATACTCCTTTCAGTCGTTGCACCTAACTGCTTTGTTGTCATGGGTATTGCGGTGGAATGGCGACCCGTGTTCGTGCTGTCTTGCATTACCCTTGTTGACATTTTATTGAAGTTACGTGTATTTGATTTTGTTTGTAAACTGCACTGACCTGTGAAACTATTGTAAGTTTCTTGAGCATTTCAATACTTTCCTGCAGAAGGAGAAGTATAAATTTATTTTTCCTGCTACCGAGTGCTGTATAGCACACGTCCGTAATAGGGGACTTCAGATATGGCGAGAATAAATCCGATAAAAAATGGAGGACCTAGCTATTCCTTTTAAATGTGTCCAAAGCTTTATTAAAATGATATTTTTGAAAAGCATGTGCTATGAAATCATGCATTGAAATAGGAGGACATTTCAGACCCTATGAGGATTTGAGAGTTGATAGAATATTTTTAATCATTTTATAACAGAACGGAAGAAACTTAAGGCACCCGTAGAAAACCCGAATCTTCGAAAATTGATAGAAGAGTAATAGTTCACATATTTCACAAGGCTTCGAGGTTGATGTACCAGATTTGAAGATCAGTCCATGGTAAAATTTGCGCTGAACTTGGTCATTCAGTGGTCCTAAACTTTTTTTATTCCCCGCCATGAATATGGCCGGGGCATTAGTGTTTATCATGTCCGTCTTCCGTCCTTCCGTCCTTCTGTCTTTATGTCCTTCAGTCACACTTTGAGTTTAGCTCAGTTCAAAGCTCATTTTCAAAGAAACTATACAAGATGTTTTCCTCAAACTACATATGCTGATAGATATTTATGAGTGCTATGCAACTACATCAAGATTTTTTGACCTTGACCTTTCCTTTTACCTTGACCTCACTTTTCTTAAATTAGTATTTATCTCAGTTTTAAACATAACATTCATGATGGTATTATCAAAATCCACATGCTGATACATACTGATGAGAGCTTTTCAACTGCATCAACAGTTTTTGACCATGACCTTTCATTTGATCTTGACCTCACTTTTATGAAATTGTGTTTAAGTCAGTTTTAATGAAATCATCATGATATTTTTATCAAACTTCACATGTTGATACACATTTATGAGAGATGTTCAACTGTAACAACTTTTTTTACCTTGACACTTTTCCTAAATTAGTGTCAAACTTTATTTGCTGATACATATTGATGTAAGTAACTGAACTGCATCAACATTATTTACCTTGGCCTTTCATTTGACCTTGACCTCTTTTATCAAATTGTGTTTTAGTCAGTTTCAAAGAAATTATTCTTTTCAACTTC